GGTGATAACTCAGTATGAGGATTAGGGTCCCAAAAGCCAGTAAAAGAGTGAGAGACAGACCCTGCTCTCAGTGTTAGGAGTCCCACAAGAGTACCAAGCTACACAACTGTAATATATATGCAGAAGGCCTAGGTCAGTCCCATGCAGGCTCCCTGGTTGTCTGTTCATTCTCTGTGAGCCCCATGAGCCCAGGCTAGTTGATTCTGTGAGCCTTCCTGTGGTGTCTTTGACCTTTCTGTCTCCTCCTCCTTGTCCCCAGGATTCCCAAACTCTGCCTAAGGTTTGGCTGTTGGCCAGAGCCCCATTTTTAATATCTATTGAGTTGACTGTACTTCCCCCCTTTAAACTGCTGAGATAAATCCAAATTAATCCTAACACAGGAAATCCTATTGTTTTGTTTTCTTTTGATCATTAGCCACTTTCTCCTGCCTCTGTGCATGTCTGATGATCTCTATTGAGTGCTGAACATTGACTATAAGACAGGAATGCTCCAGATTGTGTCTTCCACCAATGAAAGTTCCTGCTTTTCTGTTAGACAAGTAGGATGAAGGACTTACTGCTTCCATCTAACCAGAGATTTTATTTCTGCTGAGTCTGGATGCAGTTTGGACCAAGATCTCTATGAGGTTGGAGTATTTATGCCCCAGTGTGGATGGGGTGAAGTTGAGGTTAGGAGGATGGAGGATAAGAAGTTGGCACTATGAAGATGGGAGTGGTGGCTCATAACTGTAATCCTGGCACTTGTGGGTCTGGGGAAGGAGGATTGCTTTGAGTTGAAGGCCAACCTGGATTGCAGAGAGAGAGATTCTGGCCCCCTGCCCCAAATAGAGGATGGGAATATAAGTGTGATAGCTGTCTCAGCTCCCATACCAAAACTGTGATGATAGCCACTAACGGGTATGAGATGGCTACACACAGAGTGACGAGAAGAGGGCAAAAGTGGAAGGCTTTGGGAGTACTTGGAGAAGCACAAACATTTTGGATATGTCCGTGTAGGACTTGTTTTGGAGGAAATAGTGCTGGACACTGGCTTTCTGTCTTGCACTAACCACTGTAACCTAAGGTGAAAATTGCACTTTGATGCTCTATAAAAGACTTCCAAAGTTTAACATTTCTTCCTTGCTGAGATTATAGGTGCAGGCCTTTAGTCCTAGATACCTGGGGGGCTGAGGCAAGAGGATTACAGTATCTGCCTGTACTGCAGAGTGACTTAGAGGGCAGCTAGGACAACTTAGTGAGACCCTATCTCAAACTAAAAAGCAAAAAGAGGGCTATGTGTGTAGTTCAGTGGTGGAGTGCCTGATTAATGTTTGCAAGTCCCTGAGTTCAAACCACAGAAAAGCTTCTAACACCACTGAAAGTTTCTACATGGGGCTGGAGAGATGTCTCAGCAGTTAAGATCACAGGCTGCTCTTCCAGAGGACCTTGTTCTGAATCCTAGCACCCTCATAGTGGCTGAAATTCATCCTTAACTCTAGTTCCAGGGGATCTGACATCCTCTTCTGGCCTCCATAGGCACTGTCCACATGTGATGCACAACCATATAAGCAGGCAAAAGACCCACATACATAAAATACAATTAATAAATTTATTTAAAGAGGGTTTGTCGCTCAAAAGAATATTATAACAGAGTTCAATTCTTGAATAAAAATCACCCAAAATCTTACTACTAAAATAATTCAATTAAAGTTTTTTTTGTGTGTCTTCTGTTCTTTTGTTTATAAATACTCAAATGAAAATACAAGCAATACCTCTTTTTGTAACTGTATCCACAGCATTTAGACAGCAATCTCCCTTTTTTCTAAGATTAAGTTCAGTTTATGACTAATATTTATCAGTAAATCAGCAATGGGATAAAAAATCTTCATTTCACTTATGAATTTTAATGCTTGTTCCATTCTGTCAATTGAGGGGAGGGCAGTAGTTGGTATTGAATGGAGGGCTTTGTGCTTACTGGGCAATCATTCTACTGACTGAACTATAGCTCCAGTCTCTATTCTGCCATTTAAAAAACCCTGATTTCTTTTTATTCTCATGTAAGTGTATGAGTATGTTCACAGGTGCCAAAGGAAGCCAGAGATGGTTTGGGATCCTCTTGAGCTGAAGTGCCAGAGTCCAGCTCCAGCAGAGTTCATGTGTCACAGGAAAGATGTGTGAAGTTGGTGAAAAGTGAAGAATCTGACCAGCCCTTGTCTTTCAAACTGATGGCCCCAACTAGCTCAGGCCATCTTTATTTATACAAGTTCTAATGCATTCAAGCACGATCAGTTCCAAATAATTTCTCTTTAATCATTTTCCAAGAATCATTAACATTTTAGTTTCTTTTCTTCTTTTCCACTCCCTTGATGTCATTGACCTTTACCCCATATCATTATATAGTAAGCCAAATGTTTATATCTAGCTAAGTACATCTTATTCATACTGTGCCCTAGCTGGCAGCAAATGTGGTTCTAAAGTAAGAGATTTGAGCCCTGTGATTAATTCTTGACAATATGAAATCAGATGAATATATTGTGATGCCTAGAGTATCATTTTCAGGTGTATACCAGTTTCTGAGTAATCTGTATGTCAACTTTATTATATGGATTGCAGTTATAATCTTATTCTTTATAAGTTCTCAAAATAATGATTAATACCTAACTCTAACTATTAGGATTAAGTTTCTTTATTTTTCTGGCAATTTCTACATGTACTTTTCTTTGAGAGGAACTAGTAGTTTCAGATTTCTTTATTGATACTTTGATATTGGGAAAGTATCTGAGTATTCATGTCCTGGTGCCAGAGAAATGTCTGACCTTTCATGTCCTATCTCTTTTTCTTTCTATGTTCCTATAAGGTTTTTAATGTCATCTTTAAGAAACCGTTTTCCAGGGGCTGGAGAGATGGCTCAGAGGTTAAGAGCACCGACTATTCTTCCAGAGGTCCTGAGTTCAATTCCCAGCAACCACATGGTGGCTCACAACCATCCGTTATGAGATCTGGTGCCCTCTTCTGGCCTGCAGATATACATGGAAGCAGAATGTTGTATACATAAAAAATAAATAAAATCTTAAAAAAAATAAACTGTTTTCCAAGTTCTTACGTTGTTTGGAATATATTCATCTCTTTTTGGTAATAAGCGATAATCCTTAACCTTAGTGAGTTCCTCCTGCTTATTCAGGATGACTGCAAAGAGACCCAAGGACAACTGGAGGAACTGGTTTCTGTAACAGATCAGAGAAATTTAATTTTTCTATAAAGACTTTTGTTCCCGGGGGCTGGAGAGATGGCTCAGAGGTTAAGAGCACTGACTGCTCTTCCAGAGGTCCTGAGTTCAATTCTCAGCAACCACATGGTGGCTCACAACCATCCATTATGAGATCTGGTGTGGTCCTCTTCTGGTGTGCAGATATTCATGGAAGCAGAATGTTGTATACATAATAAATAAATAAAATTATAAAAAAGACTTTTGTTCCCATTAAATTCAGGTATAATCATGACAAACAAGGCAAAAACTTGTTACCATAAGAATAAGAGTTACCATAAGATTAAGCATAGCAAAAATTAGAGAAGCCTGAAGCCCATGGGCTCCCTAAGGTCAGCGCATGAATTTGCAGTATTGTATCCATAGGTCCTTGCCAAATGGATGGGATTCTCCAAAGGGCCTTACCATCTAAGGAGCTGTATTTGCAACATACCTATGTGCCATTCCCAAGGGTGACAGCATGGCTTCCGCCACCCAAGGCCCTCAATCTTATCTATAGCTACACATTTGCTGAGTTGTTTGCTCAGTGTCTCCTCCACTCCTCCTAGGAAAAGGACTACATTGATTTTATTCACCAAACCAAAGCCAGCAGAACTGTGTAGAGTTTTAGTCCTCTGGAAAGAAGAGTGGTGGTGGGCACATGTACCACCCCCAGTTTTCTTACACGTAAGCACCTAGCATAATGAATGGTGCTTTGTGGAATAAGCAAGTATTACTGTGGATTGACTGTTCACTTTCTGTGAATCTTAAAATCACCCAAGGGAAGAGTAAAAGTATGTCTATACTGCAGGTCTTGGAAGCCATTGGAATGGTGTGGCACTTACTCACATATGTGGGAGGTGCAAGTTGTATTGGCCCCTCTCTCCAGGTTTCATGGTTTTTGATAATGGATAAACTGACAGAGTGACTTTTGTCTCCCTATTTGCCAACCAATATCAACCATTGTATACAATTTGGGGGAATACATGCAAGAATATGTTCAATAATGGTTGAGGGTCAGATCTTTCATTTAATCATATCAGCTCCAGAGTGGAAATTCTAAACTTTGCTCATTAATGAAAAGCAGGCTAAGAATAATACTTGAATTGCAACAGACACCTGAAGCCAAAGGGATTGGAAACTGTACTCAAAACTAGGTTTATGAAGGTCAGGAGTGAGTTTACATAAGAAGGAATGATAGAAAGTGCCACCCAGTGTGCTGGCAGTGTGATTTTTTTTACTAGTGATCATCCATTTATTTACTTGAGAACTCCAGGGCTCTCCAAATTCAGCTAGCCCCATCTTCCATCTTTCTTCCAAGACCCAATGGGGGAAACCCTATCATGGGCCTGCCAGCGAGGTAATGAAAATTTCCTGACCTCACAAGAAGTCCTTGTGACAGCATCGCCACACCTTCAGGCTTGAAGACGTCACAGAGGACCCCCAGGCTGGGCCCCGTGGCTTCCGGAGGCTTTAGGGGACCAGGCCAGTCACTCCAGGTGCTCGGTCCTGGCAGCAGCAGAGGTTGCTCTGCGCTGCTCAGCAGAGTGGGCCGGGCCCGCAGGGGTGTGGACTGGGTGATTCTTGCTTGTCCAAGGCAAACTTTGGGAAGGAAACGGGACAAGCGGACTGTGCGAGCAGGCCGCTTAAGTTTCCTTTCAAGAAGATAGCCGCATCTGCCAAACCTCTTGAAACTTGGCTGTCCTCCCACCAGGCTGGTTGGGGGTCCATGAAGAAGCTCTTGCCCAGGGGTATGATGTGAGGTGGTGTTGGAAGAATGGCACTCATGAATAGGAAGTGCATCTGTGACCTTTGCTCCTGTGGCAGGCATCACTGCCCGCATCCCCCTACCAAGATTTATGAGAAGTCAGAGAAATCATGTCATTTCACCGAATACACCGAGAAATATCCTACCTATCATTCTTACACGGCGCGAGAGTCCTTCAAACCCAAGGTAGAGTACCAGAAAGGAACAATACCAATGGAAGGCCTGTCCACAACCAAGAGAGACTTTGGGATTCACAGCATAGTACCGGTGAAACATCATCGTCCTGACAAGTTCACACCATGCCAAGATGAAATGGATTTCCTGACAACATATAATCAACACTACAACTACTACCCTGCCAGTCGAGTGTGTTGCATCAAACCTCGAGACAACAAACATCCGTGTGCTGACAAAATGGAGAGTGTGCCTACGTACAAAGCTGATTATTTACCTTGGAACCAACAAATAAGACCTCCGTTTCGTCCACAGCAAACATACCGTCCTGCGTCCTGTAGGTTCGATCATAGAACCACACACCAGGACGATTATCCCATGAAAAATCTTGTGGATACAGTCAGTTACAAACCTTCACCTGGGCCAAAGCTCTGTAACATCCCCCTGGAGAATATGACGAGCTACAAAGCGAGCTATGTGGCCCATCCTGTGGAGAAACGGTATGTGTACGAGGCGGAAAAGTATAAACCATGTGAAATCCCTTTTGATGGCCTTACCACCCACAAAGATTCCTACAAGGGTTTGATGGGGGAGCCTGCGAAGAGCTGGAAACCTGGATCCAAGCACTGTGGGCTAGATACACCTTTCCCAAACAACACCGAATTTCGAGATAAATTTCAAGCTTGGCCAACACCTCAGATAGTCCCCAAAGAGTCTGTTCCCTATATTCCTCCTGAAGGGAAGATGGATCTTCTGACAACTTCGCAAGCTGACTACACATGCCCCAATGGTGTTCCTTCTCAGTCTTGCCGGTCAGTCCACCCCATAAAGAAGTGTGAGCGCTTTGAAGGCTCCACCACCACCAGAGAGGATTACAAACACTGGGCCAACGTGCGCAGGGATCCAGTCAAACCTGCTTCCCAGCTGAAATTCCCTGATGAGCCTATGGATTACATGACCACCAATCGTGCACACTATGTGGCCCACACACCTGTCAATACCAAAAGCTGCAAGCCTACTTGGTCTGGCCCTCGTGGAAACATCCCTTTAGAAGGTCAAACCACCTATTCTACCAGCTTTACCCATAAGGAAATTCAAAGGTGCCCAGCCTCATATTCTGAACCCCCTGGTTACATCTTTGAGGAGGTGGATGCTGTAGGGCACAAGTTGTACAGGCCGGCTTCTCAACAGAGCAACCACCTTGGCTTTGGTGATGCGGAAAGTCCTAGCCAGAGAGAATTGGCAGTCCCAGCCCATCACTGAAAAATTGTTGTTTAGCAATTGAAATTGCACAGCATAGTAAAAGCCAACAATTGAGGATTATTAAAATTGGACAAAAAAGAATTCCCCAAAATGAAAACAACAATGTAAACAAAACAACAACCTTTATTATCAATTTCAGGATATTTGAATGAAATAAGAATCACCTAAGGAGAACAACATGGAATCACCAGCTGATTGACTCCTCTTAACCCTTCCTCTGCTGTACCTACCTAACCCCCCCATCCCCTCCCATTTCCCTTGCTTTGGGCTCATGAAATCAAAGCTGGTCTCAAGAAAATACTTCTATGATCTAGGTGTATTTTATTAATTTGGTCATTTGCCAAACTTGAACTATCAATAATAAAATTTATGTTGGGGAAAAAGTAAAATGGTGTGACCACTCATTTTTGTCTTTTAATTCCTTAAAATTTTTCATAATGTTGTGGATTAAAAGCAGACCCTTATACATGCTAATCAAATACTTGACTGCTGAGCTACACCCTAACCCCTTTAATTCCATTTTAGGGTAAGCAAATTTCTGGTACTTACATATTGAAATTATTCAACTTAATATTTATTTTAGTATCAACAACTTTGTATTGCTGCAAGAAATATGCTCACCTTAGTTTCTAGGTAAACTGCACAAGTACTACATTGGTTTGGAATGCTGAAAATGAATAAATGTTTTTGTATACCTGTACTGAAAATAGAAAAAAAAACTCATGAAATATGCACAAAGTAATGCCCATTAGCTCATTAGCTTTGGTTTAAGTAAATAAGCAAAAATTAACCCCCAGATTACTAAGTTGTATATGATAAAATTTTAAATTTCACTTACTTTATTTACTTATTTATCTTTTATCCTGCAGGTTCGTTGTGTATATATTGTGGCTTCCAGTTTGTGTTTTTATGGGACTGCTGAGTGTGCAAACTAGTGGCTTTATATTTGTTTCTTATGCCTTTTCTTGGGCTATTTACTTTTCTTTTGTCCTATTCCAATGTGTTAGTTTTTTGTTTTATCTTATTTTATTTTTATCCTTTAGAAGCCTGTTTATTTTCTAATGAGAGGCAGAAGGGATAGATCTGGATGGGGAGGGGGTGGAAAGGAACTTGGAGTAAATCGAGAAGAAGCCATAAGCCTAAAAGATTTAAATAGAAAACCTTTTATTATTCTATAATCTCACAAACATATTCCTTTTTCATCTACCTGTTCGTTCCTCGTTTGCACATTCTTTTTTTTTCAATAGTGCAATACTGTTGTGTCATTATGCTTTTATGACCAGTTTCTACTTTTAACTTTAAAAGTAACTATTGCTTTGTGAACACAATAGAAGAAACGCAGGCGGGAAGACCAGAGCAGCAGCTGGCACAAAGGATAACTGCGATTTTGCAAAGCAGTCGGTTGGGAGACCAGGCTCCAGACTTTCTGGCTCCGTTTTCTTTGTCCCTACATTCCTGGGACCCGCATCAGGGTCTTTGCCTCAGGGTTCTTTTTCCCTTCCTCGG